GTCTCTCTCTCTCTCTCTCTCTCTCTCTCTCTCTCTCTATCTCTCTCTCTCTCTCTCTCTCTCTCTCTCTGTCTCTGTCTCTCTCTCTGTGTGTCTTTTTCTCTCACTCCCACTTACATTTCTGTCTCTTCACCCCACAGAGAACTGCGAGAATGTGGACTTTCAAAACATGAATACAGAAAACAGCTCAACAGAATTGTCAGATGACCAAAATGGCGATTATGGACTTATGGGAGAATATGTAGCAGCCTCCAAGGGTGAGTGGTAGGCTTTACGTATGGTTGATTCCTTTCTAAAATACTAAGTTCAACTTATAGAATTATAGTATTACTAGCTGGGCCCCCATTCGATGAAAGGAATGATCGGTGCATTAACATCAACTGAAAGTCCTTGGTAAAAAAAGATAACATGAGGCAAGATCTATACGAGTCACCCACTTGAAAAAGTGCTCAGTGCGCGACAATGCGCGATTGTATCGAACAGAAGTACGACTTGGAATAAACAAACCTGGCGGATTTTCTAAAATTACAGAGACAGAAGCGTCGTGCGGCCTACAAAAGTGATCGGCGAAATAAAGAAATTTAGCTTTTTGCAACAAAAAAAACCAGTGTCTCAAAACTGAAAAAAACGAAGAGCGTCATGATCTGGAGAATATTTTAAAGAATCTTTTGGCAAACACCGTATGTCGATCGATGCAGTCATTAAAAAGCCTTTTGAATAGCAAAATTCGGCCACCACAAATAGATAATAGATATCAACAAAACAATTCCGTGCTATAGCTTTGATGTTCTCTATTCGCTGAAGAATATGACCTGACAGTATTTTGACACTGGTATGTAAAAAACCGAGGAGTCAACCCTTATAGTGCGGTAAAAAAATTGTGGCGCAGCTAATAATTAAATATCTTTTAAACGGGAGAATCAATGTCACCCATAATTTGTTCCAATTTGATTTACGTAATCATATTTTCTCACAACAATTGAGGCCAGATTAAAAAACCTTTCTTCTTAAATGTATATAAAATTCTGTAAATCTCTATCACGAGGAAAATGGGATTGTTCTCCCAACTTTCCACTTCTCACTCACATTTTGTGTACCCCTATGGCCTACGTCACAGCTAACCAATGACACTTTTTAGTTACAAGACTTTGATACTAGAAATTAATTTATAACAAACACCACTTTGCGCTAAAAGTTCTCAAAACATGCTTTCAAGAACCATAATTTCGCCTTTAGAAAAATGATGACGGACTTCCTTTTAAAAACTGATATTATCCCAGCTATAAATCTTTTAAAATTTGAAGAAACCACCCGCTGGGATTTTTAAAAATTATCAAATTAAGGAATTTTCTAGAATAGAACTAACAGATGTTGTTTATTTGTTTTGTTTTGTTTTGTTGTTGTTGGTTTGTTGTTGTTGTTGTTGTTTTGTTGTTGTTGTTTTTTTTTTTTGGGGGGGGGGGTAAGTGTTATACGGCGCTCGCCACTGCATAGGGTCATATAAGGCCGCGGAATACATTAAACATTTTCAGTTGGCAGGAAATTATGAACTTTGCCCGGGTGGTGGCCGAAGCCTATAATTATCGATTTTGGAACACCAAGGGATCTTTATCATGGGCAACTTGCACACGGGACCTCCGAGATTTTTTGCCATTGTCTGATAAGATTAAGTGTAGATCTTTCCTACCTTAAAATTCGGGGTGTGGCTGAAAGACAACAGTAAAAAGGAGCCAAGGAGTAGCAGTAGGAAGGCTGCAGAAAGAGTCAGGAGCCCAGAGGATGGGGCAAAGGAGCTGAGGGGCTGGGGGCAGAAAGAGGAGGCAAAAGCAGACGACAGAATGTTGCTAGAGAGCAGGAAAGGAGGTGGAAGGAGACAATTTTAGAGAAGAAAATTTTTCGGTCGCTACCCAGATTCGAATCCGGGACCTTTGAATGAGAGGCCAACACCTTAACCTCTAGGCCACGAGAGCCCCCGTGTGTGTGTGTGATTTGTGCATGCACGAGTATTATGTAAGGATGTATGTGTATTTATTCATGTACTCGTGTGTGTTACACATGAACAATGCAATTGAAACTGTTTAAGATGGCCACCCCTTTTTGAGGAGAAAAATGGTTGTCCTAGACAGTTCGCTACCTCAGAATTACAAGGTTCTATCTGACAGTTTTGAATGTCTTGAGCTACTAAAGCCTTGAGGTCAGAAACCAAACTGTGTTCTATCTGCTCTATCAAAACCATAAAATTATTTGGAGTCGTTGCGTTATCAAGATATTCAAAACTTTGCATTCCAAAATGCTTGACATGTTGTAAAGCTCAGAATCTTTTAACGTCAAATTTCTCAGAACTAGGAACTGAGCAGATAGAACTTTGTAAGTCTGGGATAGCGAGCTGACATCTTGGACACTATCATTAGGACTATATCATATCACAAAATAGATCTAAATAAAATAAAACCAGGGGGGAAAAGTGTGTAAGAATTGTTTGTACAGGTGTATGTCATGGGTAGGTGATTGTCTTGGGCAGGTGATTGTCTTTTGTGTTGGACAGGTGATTGTCTTTTGTGTTGGACAGGTGATTGTCTTGGACCGCTGGCTGTTAGTGCAGGTTTGACTGTAGTTTCTCTTTATTACAGAAATTATCCATTGTGAGAATTCCACATCCTTTAAAAAGATTTCACTCACTACAGAGGAGAGGTTTATACAGCTGGACAGCAACGCAACAAGGTAACTTTGTCCATTCCCTACCTTAGAATTACAAAGTTCTATCTGACATTTTTGGTCGTTTTCAGTTACTAAGACCATGAGATCAGAAACCAAATGTTCTATCTGCTCTATCAAAATCGTAAGGTTATTCGTAGTCATTATCAAGATATTCAAAAGAGTGCTTTGGAAAGAGCTTGACATGTTGTGTAACTGAACATTTTTAATGTCAAATTTCTCAAAT